CCCTTAGAAATACCTAGTCGTACTCAAAACTTCGTGATTATGGGTCACTGCAGGTATTTGATATAGAAATGCAAGCATCTCTGAGAGGTTTTGTTAACTTGATAAAAGCTGTTGATGCTGACCTAATCTGAATTGTAGATTTGAAAAGTGAAACAAGAAGCACAGCCCCAGGATCGCATCATTTCGTAGTCACAGGAGAACCAATGGTGGTAGCCCCACAATTTCTGCAAGAGAGAACAGACCTTTCAGGACCTGAAGGGCTTCCTCTGCCTTCAGCTGTCAGAACACAGAGAGGAGCCCAGCGTCAGGCAGAGTTGGCTGTTGTTGCAGCTTGAAGCTGGCTGACCAGTTCTACTGCAGGTGTCTTGTCAGCTGCAAGCTGCAATAGTGAAGCTTTGCAAGTTATGATGAGATACCTCTGTCAACAGATTGTGGATGAATGTAGGGCATCACTTGCCCTCATGCTGTTTGAGAAGTCTATTCTCCAGAAGTCAGATATTATTTCAGGAGCATCCAGAAATGTGCCCTCCTAAAACAGCCAGCAAATCTGGTAACCACAAGGACAGTGCCAAGGTGCTGGCAGAGGATTAACAATTCAGCAAGGACAGAAATTAGCTAAACAACAGAAATAATTTGATAGTAACTCAGATACAGAAGTGATCCAACCAGGAATGAAAAACGCAAGAAAAGCAATTCACAAAAAACAAACCCCTGAGCAAATTAGCAGTGAAAGCACCAAACTTCAAATATGCCAGAAATAAATAACAAAAGACCCCAATTCAATACAAAAGGGGCAGTCCATAAGCAAGTGATATGTAAATTGCAAGTTTAAAAAGAAACATCTGTGTGGAGTTTACATATGCAAGAAAATTAGCACCAGGCAGTACAGTGCCTTAAGTGCAGCAAAACCAACCAACCAACAATTTGAAATGCAGCTTTCAGAAAGTTAAGTCGTTCATGCTGAGAGTGCTGCAGGACAGAGGTTTTGGATGCGGGTAAAAACCATGAGTAAGATCAGTCATCGGTCTTTTCTGAAACCTCCACTGTTTTTACTCTTAATTTTTCCCAGCCTATGCTGGCTGATGTTGCATGGCCTGCACGAGAAGACAAGTGGGAAGGGGATGGTTTCTTCCGTCCATCTGCCCTCCTGTGGCAAATCTCCACGGGACAGTTCAACACACCAGGCAAGGGATTCTGCAGAGTGAGGATTGTCAGACATCAATCTATTAGAGACAAAGGGTGAGGAATATGACCAATAAAGGCCTGCTGCTTCTGAGGGACAAGGATCAGGTTGGCCATGGCTTCCAACAGCTCCCAGCAGCTGGAGAGAAATTCCTCATCAGGACATTGGTGGTTTGGAGAAAGAGGACTTAAGTTTTGGGGAATCTCTGTGCAAAGCCCGTGATCCCATCTCTTTAAGGTAGAGGAGGGATGTGGTGAGTGCTCCACCAGTGAGATGCTTGGTGCCTGTACAGCACATGTGTGACCTGAGGGTCTGGTGGGTTGCCCTGGTGATCCTGTACAGTTTGTCCTGCTATAAACTGACTTACCAGGTTGAGTTTGTGCTGCATTAAAGTTTTGCCTCTCAGGAGTGCACCACAAACTGGTAATTTTGTTTAATTGGAAAGCACCTTCTAATCATCTTTGCTTGTCCCATCATCCCTAGTACAAAGCTGCTGCAGTACAAGTTTTGGTGCAGAACTCGCATGGACTTTGCTGAGGCGGGAAAAACTGAGCCGTTACCCTCTAACGATTGCCCTGAATTGGGCTCAGTAGGGGACCTCCTGGCAGAAGTCACTAATTCTCTCCCTGTGGGAAACTTTGCATTAACTAGATGTTAACAACTCACAGTCCAGATGCTCTTTGCCTTGAAGTGGCAAAGCAGTCGTATAAAACTGTTGTCTAATGGCTGGATGTAGCAAGCGCTTCATAGCGCAAGGTCATTGCTGAGAGTTCCATTCTTAGGTATGGGTTTTGGTCCCTGTGCATTTGTACAGTCACTTAATGTATTTTAGCTTTAAAGCTTGATCTGCCTAATCCAAAGTCCTGCTAAACTCTGCAAAATTTCCATATGTATATGCGTATTCCACATGATTCACCATGAAGTCACATGCAGCAGTGCTCCTCAGGCTCTCCAGCAGAGAACTTGCCACTTACGTTTGCTGCTGAGCTTTGTAAGAGCCAGCACTGACTTGGTTGAGATCTGAAGATGACAGCAGGCTAAACGGTGAACAGGGGTTATGTAGCTCAGCGTTAATCCTGTGCAGTAGAAAGGAGGGCAATGTAAATGACCTGGAGGATCGGTTACAGGTCTGTTGCAGGCAGTGTTGCTGTGAGCGTGCCCGTCCTGACAAGAACGTGCAAGGGAGAATAAAAGTCAGGGGTGGATGTCACAAATTCACAAAGGCTTCTTTGTTTGAGACTAAAATATTAAATCATAGCTTCATACAAAATCAGGAATGTTGGAATAGAGATGCTTGTGTATTTGTAGAATTGTTTGTTTACCAAAGCAATCACTAGCAAAGACTTGCTAAGTAGAAATGTGTTATGCATCGCCTGAACACCTGCTTCTTGCTAAATAACAGTAGCTCACTTGTGGACCAAGTTCAGGATAGCTCTTGCATGGAGGGTGATTACATCCATCCCTTTGGAGGGCAAGTCCCCTATGATCCACAAACCACGGCAGCAGGTTTCTCCCTGCACTTTCTCATCAGGAAGCAGCTCTGGTTTGATGCACTGGCTCTAAGCAGATCGTGATGTCGGAAGCTGGTGGGTCGTGTGCTGACC